GAAGATTAAAACATCTGTTTGTTGTACCAAAAACATTTCAAGAACGCACATCTTGGACTGTATTAAGTAGCTATGTGGCCATGCATACATTTACCCTTACATTGTTTCCCATCTAAATCCTTTATGGTGCACCAAGTGGTAATGGAGAGAGTATGTTTAGTCCATCCTCAAGTCCTGGCTTGTAACATAATAGCTATGGAATTGACTGTGGTTAGCCCCAACTAGCTAGTTCAGTTTGGGCACCTTTGCTTAATTGTCATGAGTTTGTTTCTCCACCTGTTTCATAGCAATAATGATACTTGCTGCATAGTTGTTTTGAGAGTGAAATCACATCCCTGATTGATTGGTTGATAGGTACTAAGTACCTGGCACAGAGATTATCAGTTAACATGAATGTCTCTTTCCCCATTTATGTGCTCCTTTTCATATTACTTTAGTAATAGAGTTTGGTGTCTTCAAATATCCATGCTTTCTCTGGGTATCTGGAAGATACGAGGCCTTTTGTGCCAGCTGTAGCTAGTAGCTATTACCTATGGAAATATATTATGGAAGAGCTTTTGGTTAGTATATGCTAATATGAAGCAGCTTGCTGTTTTCAGTTTATTACCTTAGTTAGGCATTACCTTATTCTTTCTCTTCTCCTAATTTATAAAGCAAAAGGGGGTAGGGGCTGGAGAGATGATTCAGCAGTTAAGAGTGCTTGCGTCTCTCCCAGAGGACCCAAGTTCAGTTCCCAGCAGTTGTGCCACAACTCTCTGTAACTCCAGCCAGAAGATTCAAGACCCTCTTCTGGCTTCTGAAGGCACTCACACACGTGGTGGCATATACTTAGAAGGGGAGGGGGTGATATCTTTAAGAAGCAATATTGAGGGGCTGTGGTATATATACTAGTTTTTTTTTAAGTTTGTTTTTATTGAATTTTTGAGTATTTCATACAGAACATCTCAATGTTAATCATCTTTATACCCCCTTCCTCACTGGTACCCTCCCATACCGCCCCCAAAGGAACCCATATACTCTCTCATCTGTGTTAAGACCCACTGTGTCAAGTCAGTATTCCCAGATGTTCCCCAGTGCAAGTCCACCACTGAGGTCTAGTCAGCCTATCTAGAGTTCCTTGTTTTGGGAATATCAGCTCTTCCTCACCTAGTAGCAATCAGTTGCCAATATATCTCCAGCTAAGTTTGGGGTCTGCTGTTCATCTTCCCAGTCCTATGCTGGGTTTTTGTGTGTTTGAGTTTGCATGGGACTTGTGTATGCTGACACCATAGAATCAAATGAGCAGGATCCCAGGAGCCTATAGGACTCTGTTTCCATTATGGTCATGCACCTCCTCCCCGGCTCTTACAGTCTTTCTGCCCCCTCTTCCAGGATGGTCCCTGAGCCCTGGGTGGGTGAAGTTTAATAAAGGAGTCCTGTTCAAGGACCAGCATTCAGCAGACTCTTAATCTCCAAATGATGCTGTTGACTTTGAGTCCTCCCTTAATGTTCAGTATACTTTTTTAACAATCCTAAACAGATTGTTCACCCTGAAAATCCCTTATATTGCCCCATTTTAGTCACATTTCCCCCATGTCTTACCCCTTACACCCCATTTGCTCTTGGTTGCTTCAAGTTTGCTTTTTCTATCATGAGTCCATCTGGACTCATGCATTCTGCAGCCTTGTGAGGCTGGCTTCTTTCACTCATCGAAGTGCCTCAGAGCCATCCAAATTGTTAAGACCATCAGCAATTTGTTAACTTTTTATTGACGAGTAGTAGTATTCTGTTATATTGATGTACTGGTTTATTTATCCATTCTATTGGGTTCATTTTGAATTGTTACTCTGTTTTTATTTTCATAGTAAGTAATATGTATCTCCATGGACAAATTGGGAAATAGACAAATACTGAAAAAATTAACCTACTCAAATACAGTGTCTTAAACATTTAGATCTATTTTGTTAGAGTTCTTTCTCCCATACATAGAATTTTCCAATTATAGAAATGTTTTTGTGGTTTTAATTCTTTTTGTTTGTTTGTTTGTTGTTTGAAACATTGTCTCTTTGCAGCACTAGCTGACCAGGAACTCACTATGTAGACCAAGCTGGCCTCAATCTCACAGAGATCCACCTACCTCTGCCTCTTGAGTATTGGGTCTAAAGTTGTGTGCCACCACACTCTACCTGATTCTTTTTAAAAAAAAAAAAAAAATTTTTTTATGTGTATGAGTATATTGCCTACATGTGTTTAAGTGCCTGGTGTGTGTGCAGTGCCCACAGAAGTCAAAAGAAAGCGTTGGATCCCCTGAAAGTGGAGTAATGAATGGTTGTTAGCCACCATGTAGGTGCTGGGAATTGAACCCGCATCCTCTGCAAGAGCAGTCAGTGCTCTTAACCAGAGTCATCTTTCCATTCCCCCCCCTGATTTTTTTTTTTTTTTTTTTTGGTCTTTTTGAGACAGGGTCCCCCTATAGTCCCAACTGGCCTGGGACTTATTATGTAGACCAGGCTGGCCTTGTCACAGAGATCTGCCTGCCTCTGCCTCAGTGCTGGGGCTAAAGGCATGCACCACCACCCCCGGCCCACCTGACATTTTTTCAGGTTTTTAAAAAATATTTATTATTGTTATATGTGTATGTATGTTTTGTCTGCCTGTATATAAGTGTACCATGTGAGTGTAATGCCCTAGAAGGCCAGAAGAGGGTGTCAGATCTTCTGGAGCTAGAGTTATAGACACTTGTTAGCCACCATGTGAGTGCTGCAAACTGAATTAGATCTTCTGAAAGACCAAGTGCTCTTAACCATTGAGCCATTTCTCCAGCCCTTGTTTTGATTCTTTACCTGACATACTTTGTTTGTTTGAGAAAGTGTGTCCCTCTGCCTCCTGGGGGCTGGGATTAGAGGCATGTGTCACCACACACCCATCAAACTGACATACTTTTAAAGGTTATTATAATGGTTTAAAAAGTATATATAAGCTATCTTTTTTTTTTTTTTTTTTTTTTAAACAGGGTCTCCCTGTAGCCCCAGCTGGCCTGGAACTATGTAGAGCAGGCTGGTCTTGAATTCACAGAGATCTGCCTGCCTCTGCCTCCCAAGTGCTGGGATTAAAGGCATGCGCCACCCCACCTGGCTGTTAACTTCTTTTTAAAAATATTTTATTTTTTATTTTATGTGTACGAGTGTATTAATTGCATGTATGTAAGTGCACCCATGTCATGCAGTGCCTGCAGAGGTCAGAAGAGGGCATTGGATTCCCCTGGAACTGGAGTTTGAGACTTGTTAGCCGCAATGTGGGTGCTGGGAATTGAACCAAGGTCCTCTGCAAGAGTAGCTAGTGCTCTTAACCGCTAAGCCATCTCTCCAGCCCCAAGAGCTACCTTCTCAGTAAACTTTGAAGTGTGCTGTACAACACCCTCAGCATGTACATTCTGAGGTGTGGAAGATCACAGGAACATTTTCATCTCACAAGGCTGCAGCTCTGTACCCACTAAGCAACAGTGCTCTCTTTCCCCTTCTCTTCAGGACAGTCACCATCCCACTTTCTACTTCTGTGATAGTATGACTGCAGACACCTCGGGCAAGGGTGTAAGTCAGTGGTAGAGTCCTGCTTTTGATCTTCCCAAAAAACAAAAGACCTTCAACACCTCATTGTAGGACCTTATAGTGTCTGGTATGTGTCCTGCTGTGAGATGTTCTTGAGATTTGTCCATATTGTAGCATAGCTTTGTGTTTTGTTTGGTTTTGTTTGGTTTTGTTTTGGTCTTTTTGAGACAGGGTATCTCCGTAGCCCCAGCTGGCCTGGAATTCACTTTGGAGACCAGGCTGGCCTTGAACTCACAAAGATCCACCTGCCTCTACCTCCCAAGTTCTGGGACTAGAGGTGAGGGCAAGCACACCCGGCCCTGTAGCATAGCTTTCTTTGTATCTGTATTTTACTTCTTCTTTTAATTGTGATGATTTATGCAGAATTCACACAGATATACACACCACCTACATAGTGGTGTTTTGTTTTACTTTGTTGTTTTTTGAGACAGGGTTTTCCTGTAGCTCTAGCTGATCTGGAATTTGCTATGTAGACCAGGCTGACCTGAGTCTCACAGAATCCACCAGCTTCTAGGATTAAAAGGCGTGCACCGCCATGCCCAGCTGATGGATACAGTTTTTAAAAGATTATAAAGCACACAGTACTGTAACTACACAGTTGAGAGATGGAGTACTGCCAGGGTCTCTGTCTTTTGGTTTGACTTCTCCAGCACAGTGCCTTGCCTTCACCCGGGCAGCTTCAGTTTAACTTTGGTGATATCATTGCTTCACTTTGCTTCCTAGTTTTCCAACTTGTATAGGTTCCTTAACAACATAACTTAGTTTGGTCTCCTTTTTAAGTTTGTGGCCTCACCAGAAACAAATTAGACACTGGGGATAGAGTACAGTGGTAGAATGTCTGCCTAGAATGTGCAAGGTTCTCAGTTCAATCCCCAGCACCGCCAAAAACATTCTTTTTGATTGTTCTAAGTGTTTGCTCTTGTCTGTCATAAGCTTTCACAGAGCTGCTCGCTCACAGTCCCCAGAATATGCTGAGGAGAGTCTCTGCCTGTGCTTTATCCCACAGTTTACGCTGTTGCTGATTTTCTTTATTGGATGTAATTTAGTAAATACATTTCTGCTTAAAACTTGCCTGATATTTAGTATTCTACCATGGATAGTCTGAATGAAGAGTGTGAAGCTTAGTGTTGATGCATCTTGCTAAATCATTTACAAGGAGTTTTATAGGCAGCCACTGTAGTGAAGCCTTGACCCTGGGGCCAGCACTGTTACTTACTCCTCCCCACCAGACTTACCCACCTGTGAGAATTTGCTGCTTGAAAAGTTTTATCTTCAGAAGGTGAATGCTCCTTTTCATGTTGAGTAGTTTTCTGTTTTCTCCTTTTCTTAACTTTGCCCAAGTGTGGTTGGGGTAAAATAGCTGCTTAAATAGTAGTTAGTGTGGTCTTCTCAGTCATTCTTTGTTTTTTCCAGATGTAGGTGCAAAAAACTGCAGGCATCTCTGTGCTGTTTATTACAACAAGAGTCCTGGGTTTGAGATAATCCATGGGCTTCTGGACAGAATTATGCAGCTGCTCGATGTGCCTCCTGGTGAGAAGAGGGGTTACATGATCCAAGCGTCAGCAGGTAAGAGGCTGTGGGGTGCATAGTTGATGGAATGGAAGGAGGAGGCCACATCCTGGTCTCTGAAAAGTTTTGTTTCATTTCATTTTGCTTTTGATTTAGGGCGTGCAGAAAGAAAGTGAGATCAAGCTTTATTTATTTCACATGGCTTTTAGTACTTTCTAGAGATGATTCTCTTTTCCTCCAGCATCTGAAAGACATTGCTTTTCAGAACTGTTGTGTGTGCTACACAGCATACTTTTGTTCCAGCTGACCTATGGTAGCCCCTAGTTACTGGTCCTTTGTACCACCAGCACCACAGTGAACCATGGAACAGGCTGAGAAGACTTTAGGTGGCAGTCTGCACCCAAGAGCTGTCTATCTGCACCCAAGAGCTGTCTATCTGGAGCTTTAGGGCAGAAGAAAAAGGAAGTTATGAAGGCTTCACACCATTAATCCAGTCATAATGTAGCTGAGCAAGGTGGGATCCCTGCGTTAAAGCTGAGCTCAGTGCAGGGCAGTCTGCAGTTTAAATCAGGCTCAGTGAATGTGTGTGTGCTCACAACATGCCAGGTGGTTATTGTCCAAGAAGTTCTGAAATTTTTCTTTTCTTTCCCCTGTAGGGTAAATCTTAAGTTTATTTTGTTTGACAAGAGACCTAGAAACAATTTAAGCAAAATTTTTTACACCACACCTACTGTTGTTGTGGGTGCTTCGTCAGAGAAGGCCACTCAGACAACACTTTGCTTAATGAAAGTCGTTACTGGCCAGGGCTACTACACAAGGGTGTCGGGAACCAGTGTGTAGCACCGAGCCATCTCTAGGGTAAGCTTATAGGGGTGAAAAGCTTAAGTTCCCAAGCTTACAGGTGGAGAGTCCCCTTAACAATTTCTATTCTATTAAGTAACAATTACTATTCTGCAGAAGCAAGTCAAGCATAACCTATAGAAGCCATAAATCTGTAGCTAGCAGGTACACTCCAGGACACATTGACCTGTTCCCAACACAGCCGGGGTCCAGCTGACATGTGTTCCCATACCCTGGGCCAACTGCCTGATAATTTCACGACTTTCGACAGCAAAGCGTTGTCTGAGTGGCCTTCTCTGGTGAAGCACCCACAACAACAGTAGGTGTGGTCGTAAAATATTTTGCTTAAATTGTTTCTAGGTCTCTTGTCAAACAAAATAAATGAGATTTACTTAAGTTTAGAGTCAGCCTAAACTTAACCATGGCGTAGCTATGGTACTTGTAGAGCTTTCCGTTCCTTTTTGTTGGGCCAAGGTCTTTTTCCTTCTTCAGTGCTAGGATTGAACTCAGGGCCTTAGGCAGTTTAAACAAAAACACTCTTGCTCCTGAGCTGCATCTACAGCCCTTGAGTTTTTTGAAGCAGGGTCTCATAGTGTGGTCCAGGCTGGAGTTGAATTTGGCATCCTCTTCTTTTGCTTCCTGAGTGCCTTGCATGAGCCGCCACACCTAGGTCACTTCGGTTTTTTGGATGGGTGTTTAAGGACTCTGACTTGTTTCTCTTTTTGAATCTCTATTTGGCTCTCATTTAAAATTTTTACATCTGTGAAATTCCCAAGATTTATGAATTTGAGGAGCTTTGATAGAGCTTCTACACATGGGTGGCCTAGGTCAGTATGTATTCACTATATCTAGCTTTCTTACAGAGGACGATTACTTTCATTGCCTGTCACCATCGTTGGCCACATCCTGCTTCCTGGATCCTGGGCATGTGCTTAGTTCTTGGGTGCTTTTTTCTAGGATGCTTTTTGTAAGAGCCATCAAGCCAAAGAGAATTAATGTCATCATGAATACTAGTTCTTCATTTTTCATAAGGATTTCTAAGTCTATTTTGATTATTTAATGACAAATACGATTATCATTTTTTGTGGTCAGAGAATCAAGGTCTAAAGAAAGGGCTTGTCAAAATAAGTCAGCAGCAGAGCTGCCATTACTCTTCCTCTACTGTGTGAGCACACAGACCACAGCTTAGCAGCAAAGCTCATTTCCAGACGCCTAAGTAAATTTGTAAGCACAGGACTTTAGACATTGGGGTATGTTTAGCTACATCATTTTTTCAGGCTTACTGTTATTTTATATGTAGCTTTTTTTTTGGTAGCAAAAACTCTTTAGAGTGGGGCAGCGAGTAGGAACAGATTAAGAACTACTGTTTCATGCCGTTCATGATTACTGAGCTGTCTTCTATTACTCTGGCATATGGTTTACTTTTTAATAATTAAAAATCCCTAGTCACTTTGTAATTATAATTTAGCAAAATGTGTTCACCAGAGATTCCTGCTAATGTCAGTCACTCTGGCAGTTGGCCTTGTTTTCCTGCCCTGCTAAGCGTGCCGCCAGCCTTCCTTTTATGCTGCTTTGCTTGTTGGTGAGTGGAATAGGACTTGATCTTCCTTTGAGCAACTCGGCCCTGCCCATTGTAAGAGAACTCTGGGAACTCACTTCATTGATAGTTCCAAGGTGTGTGTTGGCATTGTAGTGTCACCTTGCCGATCATCCAGGTAGCAGCCCTGTGCAGCAGACCAGCATCTTCAGCAGTGCTCAGGAAGCCCGTGCTGCAGCCAGAGAGACAAAGCTGTGTTGCTTAATTGTACAGTTTTCATCTGCTGAGTACCTCTGCAATGTAAGACGTGATGTGATGTAGAATGCCAGGTCAAGAGTCCTGATAGAACAGGGCTAGTGTTGAGAGACAAGAACCTTGAACTTGACTGTAGAGTGCTTTCAGGGTTGAAAGGGGTTCAGTGCAGAATGCTTTAGTGACATATGATCAGATCGTTAAAGCAAATGTATGGTTTTTAATTTTTCTTTCAGGCTTCTTCCTCTTCGTTTCTGTGGTTTGTTGCAAACTAAATTATGTATGTTAAGATTTGCTTATCCTTTTCAAAAACCATTTCTGGGCCAGGAAAATTCTCAACATTTTTGTGTTTAGAACAGTAATGTGGTTCCTGGGCAAATCAGTGGCAAAAATAATTTCTTCTAGCATGTCGTGGGCTCTGTGACTGGTTGCCTTGACTGGAGCACATGGTTTTTCTTCCAGTTTTGATTTCTTACAGTTCTACAAAAAAAGTTCAGTTTAATTTGAGACAGGATCCTTGGTGAAGAGACAGAACTTGCAGAGCTTTAGTTGTGACAATTTTTGTTTTTGTGCTGCTCAGAATTCATCTCGTGAGATGAAGAGGAACCTTGCAGCGTCCACATCTCGCTCTTTGCCACATGTAGCCACTGTGGCTATCCAGGTGCCTTCTCTGTCAGTAACACCTATTATCATTGGCTTGACATGCGGGTCATGACCTTGTTCCCCTTCCAGGATACCTGTGAAAGATCTCAGATGCTGAGAAATATGGTGAAACTGGGATGTTTCCCTGCTGTCACACTGGTTTTTTATGTAATATGAGCTTAGAAATGCATTAGAACAGTATCTGTTGAACAACTTGTTGAAATAAAGGTGCTTAGGTTATGGCTTGATTTATATAGGGCACCCTGGACTATGATAAAGGGGGTTCTGAACAGCATTCATTTTGTTACCACCAACAAAGGCATTGTTCTGCTAAGGTATCAGGTTTTTTAAAAAGTTTGAAAGCATATTGTCGTGTATAAAGGTACCTTGTCCTCTGGATGTCTACTTTTTTGTATTTGAGGCAAGCTTTCCAGAACCATTATTTCCATCCACTTTGAAGGAATTGGAAGACACAAAGCAATATTAAACAAAGAGGAGAAATTGAGTACTCAGCACTGGGGGAGCAGTTAGCAGGGCCACAGAGCTTTTACCACTTACTCGTGATTCTCTTGGGCTTGCCTTACTTTTGAATGTTTATTGTCTCATCTTATGTACATGAGGTAAAATTCTCTCTACTCATGTCTTTTTGTTCTTATCTGATATTTCAGTACTCTGCAAATTGGAGTACACAGCCCTGCAGTTCCCATACTAAATGGCTTAGTAAGTTTGGTGCTCTGATACTGTTGTAACACACCCTGACAACCTTTTGTTATTATCTCCTAAAGTCCCTCAGTTGATGAATGATTAATGAAAATGTACATTTACACAATGGAGTTCTACTCAGCAGTAGAGAAGAAAATCATGATATTTGCAGGTAAATGGATAGAACTAGAAACTTGTTGTACTAAGTGAGGTAACACAGACTCATTTGTGGATCTTAGCTGCAAATCTTAGCTACGAGTAATACCTTTTACCACTCGTCAAAGAAGCTTCATTTTGCAACACATGGAATCTATTACAAGGTTCCTCTGGTCAAATGCAGAGAATAAGTATCTGTGAGGTACCCATCTCAAAGTGACACATCTGCAATATAACCTCTACACCTAAGTAAGGCTCAGTTGGTAGGGCATGAGACCCATTCTTAAAACTTATTTTTAATTATTCTGTGCAGAGAAAATGGACAAACACAATTTCAGGCTTTTTGTTACTACAATTTCTGCAACATAGTAAGTTTCATCATGACAGTTTCATACATGTACAGCATACAATATACTTTGGTTAAATCTTTTTAAAATTTAGATTCTTCATGAGAGAAAACATGCAGTATTTGTCCTCTTAAGTCTGGCTTATTTCACTTAACATGATGTTCTCCAGTTTCATATACTTTCTTGAAAATGATATAATTAATTATTCTTTATGACTGGATAATTCTCCATTACCAAATAAGATTTGTAACTTAAAAGTTAAGGGCTGGGTTAGCACTCCAGAGGCAGAGGTAGTGGATCTCTGTGTTCAAGGCCAACTTGGTCTAGAGTTTCAGGACTACCTGGTGAGACCCTATTTAACAAAACAAAACAGACCTATTAGTATTTAGGTGTATATGTACTGAAAAAGTTTGACTTTTTTGTTTTAATTAATCTTCCTCCTCCTCCTCCTCCTCCTCCTCCTCCTCCTCCTTTTCTTCTTCTTTCTTCTTCTTTCTTCTTCTTTCTTCTTATTATTATTTTGAGAAAAAGTGTTGGGTAGCCCAGGCTGGCCTGAAACTCACTATGTAGTTGAGGATGGC